ATCTCTCTCTGCTTCTCTCTTATGAGGACAATCCTGCTGTCCCGCCAAGATAATCTAGGGTATTCTCATCCCCAAACCCTTCATTACATCTGTAAAGATCCTTTCCCAAATAAAGTAACACTTTCAAATTCCGGAGATTTGAACCTGAAATCTGGGGTAGCCATTATCCAAACTCTTACAAGATCTCTGAGATTCCCACCCCTCCCCCGCTTTAAGGGTCCCTCTATGCTGCTAAAAAGTGGAGAAACCCTGATTCCCAGTCTGGCTGGTTTGCAGGAGCTGTGTGGTATTTCCACCTGGCCAAGCTCCCCCCATGCCTCTGCCCAGCTCTACCAACCATCACCTCCGTCAGAGTCACTCAGGGAGAATATTTTTGTAATGCTGTACTCCCCCACACGTCCTAAGATGTTCTGATCTGGTAGGTTGGACTCGGAAAATTGTGACCTCTAGAACTCTCGCCGTGATTCTGATATAAAACCAGATTTGTGCATCACTGCTTTAGAGAAATGTGACACATGAATGAATGAATGAATGAATGAACGAACAATTTTTCAAATATACAACGATTCTGTTGACTTTGCTTCTAGACTCACCAAAGAGCCTCCAGATTTTGTGTTGAAGAGGTGGGAGGCAGGGGTGTCCTGACTATGTGGCCAGTTCTGGAGGACGGCATCTGCTTTAAGGTCAGGTCAGGATCCGGAGATCCTGGGATTGATCCCTGCATCAGGCTCCCTGCTCAGCAGGATCCTGCTTCTCCCTCTCCCTCTGCCTGCTGCTCTGCCTACTTGTGCTCTCTCTCTGTGTCAAATAAATAAATAAAATCTTAAACAAACAAACCAAAGGTCACCTGGGAGAGAAGTCTTCAGAGAAAGGTCACCAACTTGCTCCCCATCCCCTGGCCTCCATAGGCAACTGGGAAGATAAAAGAGGCCTGAGTGATTCAAAGCTCTGTCCCTTACTAGCTGTGTGGCTTTTTTGGGCCTCATTTTTTCTCATCTAGAAAATGGGAATACTTGCTTAAGAAGGGTCGTGAGGAGTGGGGCACTTGGGTGGCTCAGTCAGTTAAGCATCAGACTCTTGCTTTCTGCCTAGGTCATGATCTCAGGGTCATAATCTCAAGATCATGAAGTTGAGCGCCCCCACCCCCCAAGCTCAGCCAAGAGTCTGCTAGAGATTCTCCATCCCTCTGCCCTTCCCTGCATTTTCTCTCTCTCTGTCTCTCCTACTCTCAAATAAATAAATAAATCTTAAAAAAAAAAAAGAGAGAGAGAGAGAGAGGTTGTAAGGAGTAAAAGAAAAATTGCACAGGGAAAGGGAGAAGGTAGGAGCTTGATCAAAGTGAATTTTTTTTTTACTTTTTAATTTTTTATTAACATATAATGTATTATTTATTAACAAAGTGAATTATTATCAGGATTATCATGCTCTCTGCTTTTGGGCATACCCAAAGAAGGGTGGAAATTGTCACGAAAAAAGAAAACCGACACTGATTCGCCTGCACAGATGCGGAAAGGACTTCAAGACTAGCCATTCAGTGGAAAAAGCGAAATTTACAGTAATAGATCTAGTGCAATCCTGGTTCATTCACTCAACAACTATTTTGAGCACCTACCCGCACCGTTCTAGGTTCTGAGAATTGGGCAGTGACCAAACCAGACAGATGTCTCTCCCCTCATGGGGCCAGTATTTGAATAGTGAGACAACAAACAAACAAAAAGTAAATAAATAAATAAATAAAAATACTAGGAAGTGGTAAGCACCATGATAAAAATGTGAAAAATCCCCTGGGATAAATTCTAAAATTACACATGTAAGCATTTTTTTTTTTTCCTGCAAAAACACAGAATGTATTTCCCTGTGGTTACTTCGCGGGAAGAGGCTGGAGGCTGGGAGAGAGAGACTTGTTTTTCACTTTATACCTTCTTGGAACTTCATTTTCTTAACGGGTGTGAGTCACTTTTAGTATTTTTTTACTTATTTTTTATTTTATTTATTTATTTGACAGAGAGAGCTCAAGGGGGAGCGGCAGGCAGAGGGAGAGGGAGAAGCAGGCTCCCCGCTGAGCCAGGAGCCCAAGGTGGGGCTCGAGCCCAAGACTCTGGAATCTGGACCTGAGCCACCTAGGCGCCCCTTTAGTATTATTTTTTAAAGTGACAAGCCAGTGTAGCTGGGTAGAGCGATCCGGGCCACGTTTTGCTTTCTTCCCCCACTCTTTTTGGATTTTTCATCTCTTTTAAACACGTATAAAATTGGGAACCGTGATTATCATTTGTTCTGGGGCGGCTGGCGAAGGCTTTCCGCTGCCAGGGATCTGAGTAATCTAAAACACTCAGAGCGGAACTGCACAGGGGTTGGCAATTTTTGTAAGAATGTTGAACGTTTGAGGTTTTCATTTCGCGGATAATCCTCCCTGCCCCGCCCCACTCCCAGCCGCCCCCCCCCCCCCCCCCCTTCCCAGTTGCAGAACGCATGTATCTCATCTGTGAGGTCATTCCACTTGGAAGTCTTGAGTTTTTGGACTTGGATCCATAAACCAACTATTCCTCAAACGGGTAGCCTAGGGATTTTTAGCTTCCGGTAGCTTTTCCGGGAAGCTGAGTAGGGGATCAGGCCTAAAGTAGGGATAAGGAGCCCAGAAGAGGTGAAGCCGGCTCCCCCATCCGGACACCCCTCCCAGAGCGAACCCGCGCTAAAGCGTGTCTCTGCGTTGCCGTGGAGACCGCTGGGCGGCTGGAAACTCCGCACAAGGGAGGGGCGGGGCTGTTGGAGGCCTGGAGGGGGCTGACCGCGCCGGCTGGGATGGAGCCTTTGAGAGGGAGGAGAAAATCCAGCAAAGCCTACCGACTGGGCTCTGCAAAGGCAAAAACAACTCAAACGAGCCAATAATTGTGCAAAGGCCTAGCTGAGATCTTCACTAACCTTCCCTTTTCTCTCTCCCGCTCCCTCCCTCTTTCTCTCCACATCTGCCTGGTTCTTTCAAGAGCTAAATAAAATCCCATGTCGTGAGTTAAATAAAATGATGTGTTCCTTTTTAATACCTTGTATTAAAGTCTTTGTTATTTTACAGGGTTTTTTTTTTTTTTTGCTGTTGTTAAAATTTTTCTCTTTTAATGGTTGTATGTTTCATTATAATTGGTTTCCTTTGTAATCCGATGGATGTGGTTCTATGCATTGAAAAACTTTATCTTGAATAGGGCCCCATAGCACTTAGAAAGGGTTAAGGATTCCTGAGATAGAGGACTCAGGAGAAGGTAGAGGCCACTCCTTTTGTTGGGGTGCAGGGAACTGGGTGGGGTGTAGAATGACCACCCCCCCCAAAAAAAAAAACATTTGGGCAGAGGGAAATTGCCAAGAGAAGGCGGGGCCATAACAACCTGGAGGTTGGGAACAGCAAGTGCAAAGGCCCTGAGGTGGAACTGAGTGGGGCCTCTAATAAACAGTGAAGAGATGGGGGTGGCTGGAGCACAGTCAGTGAGAAGGAGAGAAAGAGAGAGGGAAGTGGAGGAGGTATGCTAGGGCTTTGTGGCCCACGGTGAGGACTTTGATTTTACTCTGAGTAGGATGGAGGATTTTTAAAAGAGTAGAGACAGATCTGAGTTAAGTTTTTAAGATTCCCTCCTGCTGCTGGGTTGGGGTCAACAGCAGGCAGTGAGGGGTAAACAGGGAGCTTTTCCACGGGTCTGCCTTACCACATAGCTCTGAGAATTCCCAACAACAGTCCCCCCTCCTGCCGCACACAGCAGGGTGCCTGGTTCCAAGGAAACTCTCCCTGCAAGTTCAGTGTTATTAGTACTAATGCTGAGCCAGCTGCCTGGGAATTACCCAGGAAGCTTTGCACATCCTGGGCCCCCCATCCCAGGGATTGTGACCCCTCTCTGTCCATGGCTGATTTTGAGGACCTCTGCTTGAATTTCACTTATTTAATTAACATTTTTGACTGCTAAAAATCCAAGCAATCCAAGAAGATAGAGAGGGGAAAAGTACATGTCTCTGCCACCTCTGGGGGTCCCCAGTGTCCCTCCCCAGAGATAGCCACTGTTGGCGGTGCTGGTACCTGGGATCAGTACATCTGCAGGTCTAGACCCTTTGCCCACCCCACCACCAACACCACACACACACCTCGGACCGTTTCAGATTCAAATCCAGGTTTCTCTCACTTATGGCTATGGGAACTTGAGCAAGCGATTTTACATCCTCAGCTATAAAACGGGAATGATCTGTGCACTTGGGTGGCTCAGTCAGTTAAGCAGCTGCCTATGGCTCAGGTCCTGATCTCAGGGGCCTGGGATTGAATCCCCACGTTGGGCTCTGTCCGGCGTGGACTCCCTCCGTACTCTCACTCTCTCGCTCTTGCTCTATCTCAAGTAAATAAATAAAAATCTTTTAAATAAATAAAATAAAATGGAAATGATCCCATTACCTGCATCATAATGTTATATATAGGGAGGATTTCGTGGGGTTAATCCACAGAAACCACTAGGAAATGCTCCATAAAACCTGACTATCCTTTTTACCAGGTGCTTCTTTTTACATAGCTGCATAGTATTCCAGTGTGAGACTTGTACAACTGAGCCAGTCCCTCCTGATGGACAAAACTTCGGTTCATTCATTCACCCCCAAAATATTTATTGAGCACCTGCAGTGTGCCAAGGCCCGCGCTAGAGCCTGGGGCAGTAAGATCCTGGTACCGTTTCTCCTCCGACATATATGCTTGAACAGGTAGGACCCGCGGGTACCAAAGTCGCATGATATTGAAACCTAACAATACAGTGCCAATGGCTTGCCAAAGGCCGGCCTCATTAGCACACCCACCTCCAGGGCTTGGCTGGAACCCGCGTTTAGAAGGGCAGGTTGGGGAACTGCCGCCTTTCCCCGGAAGGTGCTGACGTGGGCCTTGGCGGGGGCGTTCTGCTTGGAAGCGGTGGCCCCAGGGAGGCCCGGAGCGCGGCCACACCCCTGTGGGGGGAGGGGAGGGAGGGCGCCCCGAAGGGAGTGGACAGCCCCCCTGTCAGTCTTCCCGAGTCCCGGAGTGTAAGATGAGAAGGGAGAAGGTGGGCCTCACCCTAGGGGACAGCGAGGAGGAACTTCCTGCCCCCGCGCGCTCCTTCGCGCTGAGCGCACGGGCTGGGAGGCTGCAGGCGCGTCAAGGTCAGCCTGGACCGGGGTGGCCGCCAGCCTGGGGGCGGGAGACCCTTGTGGGGGGGGGGGGGTTGCTGGGCTGTGGCCTCCAAGCGCCTCGGCCATATTGAATAGCCCCGGCTGAGCCGTCTTTGTGTGCGCAGGCCTCTCCCAAGGTGCAGGCGCGTCCCCGACGCAGGAAGAGCCACGGGGGCAGCCCGTGCCCTAACCTGGAACCGGGACCCCACGTCTGCAGCTGGCGGTGGGCTTCGAAGCCTCAGGACCGACCGCTCCCCGGCTCACGTAAGCATCCTGGGAACCGATTCCCGCCAGTCCTTGGGGCGGGCGAGCCGGACTTCGTCAAGACTGAACTTTGTGGCGGGCGGAGAAGTTGGGAGGGATCGGCTCATCCTCGGCTGGAGAGGCGAGACCCTCCTGGCAGTTCTGCGGGGACGCCCCCCACTCGCCCCCACCCTCCAAGACTCAGGCCTACAGTGTAGTTTGGGGTCGTTACCCCCACCCCCGATTTCACCCTGGAGATCTTAAAGACCCTCGAGAAAAGCCACGTGGGGGGCTGGTTCCCCTGGGGTTTCCTCCCCTCCCCCGACTGCCTGATCCTCTGGAGTGTGCCTGATGTCTGCAAAGATGTGGATTTGGACGTCCTCGTGGAAGCCTTGAAGCCCGTGGGGACCTTTAAGAAGATTGGCAAGGTGTTCCGCAGGGAGGAGGACTCCACGGTGGGGATGTTGCAGATCGGGGAGGACGTCGACTATCTGCTCATCCCCCGGGAGGTCAGGCTGGCGGGAGGCGTATGGAGGGTCATCTCCAAGCCCGCCACCAAGGAGGCGGAATTTCGCGAGCGGCTGATCCAGTTTCTGGAGGAAGAAGGCCGCACACTGGAGGACGTGGCCCGCATCATTGAGAAGAGCACCCCACACCCGCCCCAGCCCCCCAAAAAGCCCAAGGAGCCCCGGGGGAGGAGGAGAGTGCAGCAGATGGTGACCCCGCCCCCGCGGCTGGTGGTGGGCACCTATGACAGCAGCAATGCCAGCGACAGCGAGTTCAGTGACTTCGAGACCTCCAGAGACAAGGGGGACAAGGGGGACAAGGGTCACAAAGGCGCGGGGTGCAGCAGGAAAGTGCGCAAAATGCCAGTCAGTTACCTGGGCAGCAAATTTCTGGGGAGCGACCTGGAGAGCGAGGACGACCAGGAGCTGGTGGAGGCCTTCCTGCAGCGAGGGGAGAAGAAGCCCAGCGCGCCACCTGCCCGCCGCCGCGTGAACCTGCCCGTGCCCATGTTCGAGGACAACCCCAGGCCGCAGCTGTCCAAGGCAGACAGGTGGCGAGAGTATGTCAGCCAGGTGTCCTGGGGGAAGCTGAAGCAGAGGGTGAAGGGTTGGGCGCCCAGGTCCAGCCCTGAGGGGGGTGAAGCCCAGCAGGCATCTACCAGGCAGGAGAGGGTTGGGGCCTCGGGGTCAGGCAGAGCCAGCCTGGGGGACAATGTGGGCAACCCAGGAGATGGGTGGGAGCCTGAGATGCCCCCAAGACGATGGAGGCCCAAAATCAAATGGGCCTCTTTTCGCCGTTGCAGGAGGGAAGAAGCGGCATCCACAGATCAGAGGGCGGAGGCTGCAGATGATCAAAGAGTTGAGGCAGCCGATAATCAGAGAGCTGAGGCTGCAGATGATCAGAGAGCAGGGGCTGCAGATGATCAGAGGGTGGAGGCTGCAGATAATCAGAGAGCTGAGGCTGCAGATGATCAGAGAGCAGGGGCTGCAGATGATCAGAGGGTGGAGGCTGCAGATAATCAGAGAGCTGAGGCTGCAGATGATCAGAGAGTGGAGGCTGCAGATAATCAGAGAGCTGAGGCTGCAGATGATCAGGGGGCTGAGGCGGCAGATAATCAGAGGATACAGGCTGTAGAAAATCAGAGGGCAGAGGTTGAGGATAATCCAGGGGCAGAAGCCATAACTGTCCAGAGGGCAGAGGCTGCAAATAATCAGAGGGAAGGGGCTGCAGATAATCAAAGGACAGAGGCCCAAGCTGTCCAGGGGGCTGAGGCTGCATCTGATGGGGCAGAAGCCACAGCTGACCAGAGGGCAGAAGCTGTACAGAACCAAAGGGCTGAAGCCCCAGCTGCTCGGGGGGCCATAGGGACAACTCAGGGAGCTAAGGCCCGGAAACAGGTCAAGACAGTGAGGTTCCAGACTCCTGGCCGTTTTTCATGGTTTCGCAAGCGCCGGAGAGCCTTCTGGCACACTCCCCGGTTGCCAACCCTGCCCAAGAGAGTTCCCAGGGCAGGCGAGGCCAGGAGCCTTAGGGTATTGAGGGCAGAGGCCAGAGCAGAAGCAGAGCAGGGAGAACGGGAAGACCAGTTGTGAGGTGAAGATAGGGGTGCCCTGGAACTCATGGCTTCCTGCCGCCATACTTGAAAATGGAGGTGGACAAGGACCGGGCAGCGGGCCTCCCATCTCCACCCAGCACCCCTCTGTCTTGTTCAAAGTTTATCTTTCATGTATTGATTAAAAAAAAAAAAAAAAACAACAGATTCCTTCTAGTCACCCAAGGAACGTAAAGAAAGACAACCATACAAAGGGGTCGCATCGCTCATGATCTTAACTTCTACAATGCAATTCTAGGTGCTCGGCTTGAAGCGGGGGAAGCAGCAGAGATACTCCCTCCCCCTCTCCTCTCCCTTTTTCTTCTTTTCTACTGTCCCCTTAACATTGTCAGCATCCTTGAATTTAAAAAAAGGGCGCAAGCCCACATGCAAATAAAATTGTTTACCACGGGATTTCCTGGCTTTGGATTGGGCAACTGAAGAATGCTCCAGGGTTGTGTCCTCACTCCCTTGTGTACCCTATGCTCCCGCCCTCCAGGATGGTGCCCTGTGTTTATGTCACTTTGCTTGCCATCCCCATACCCCTGGCTCCTGGCCCAGGGCCCGGACCTCACATACTTCCCCCAACCTTGGTTACAAGGGACAGAAGAATCATCTGGGAAACGTGGCCAAATTTCAGATTCTGGGGCCCTTCATGCCAGAGCTGTGGATTTGCTCCAGCTGCCTGTGTGGCCCCAGATTCTGTTTCGATCAAGCCCCCAGAACATCTCTTGGGGCAGATTGGTCCCTGGGCACATTGAAAACTCGTTGCAATAGAGACGGGCCAAAAAGCCAGATCGTGGTGTGATGTGTAGTGAGCCATGGCTGGCACTTATGATGGGGGACAGATTGGGTGGCTAAGTCCCGTGGGCACTGGGGGACCTCTCTGTATTGTCTTGTGTCCCCCAAATCCCAGCCCCACCCGCAAAAAGCAGCACATGGCTATATCCCAGCCTCACTGAGGGAGGGAGGGAAGGAAGTCACGGAGGAGGGAAGCCTGGAGGTCACAACTGTCTTGGCTTCAACTGCAGTTCCCGCCTGGGTTTTTTTCTTAGTTTTTGCCTCTAGAACTAAAGAATCACCTGCCCTCACCTGCTCCTGGTCTGGAAGTAGTAGCTGCTGGTGCTCCTTCCATAGGATGCTAAGAGTTCCTTTCAACTTGTACGGTTCACAGTCCCTAGCCCAGCAAGGACAAGCCCCAGTGGGGTTGGAGGAAAGACAGAGTGTGGACCCCACCTGAAGGAATGGACTTACCGGGGCCCAGGGAATAACCAGGCCAGATGGGGCCGTGTCTGGAATGCCCAGTGAATGATCTGGATGCCAGGTCTGGGGTAGAAGTGGGGGTTCTCCGTGACTGCTGCCCATCTGGGAGAGTACCAGCCACATGCCCAGGAGGGCCTAGTCTGTTTGGGGTCCTAGTAGGGGAAAGAAGGTGGGAGCGGAGATAGTGAGAGACACCAGGAGGAGACTCCCGAGATTAGGGACAAATCCATCCCAGCGGCCCAGACGTGAGCATCCAGATTTCATGTAGCCTCCAAAGGGCATAGTCCCCAAAGGCAGCCCATGGATGCCTCCAGGCTTGCGGTTTCAAACATGCCAGGATTTTCATGGGGGGGGGAGCACCAGAAAGCTGGAGGACACCCTAAATGTGGACACCCTTAAATGTCCCCAAAGAGAAAAATAACGGAACACAGCCATTAAGGTGCCACTCTGCAATACCAGGGACTTTCTGGGCCCCTCATGCTGGTGTGCTTTGGCAGGAGGAAACCACTAGGGGGCAGGCAAGTGGGGATTTGGAGCCCGGCTCACGCCTAGCACCGCCCCTTCCAAGCTGTGTGACCTTGGGCTGGTTACCTTGCGCCTCTTTGTGCCTCTACTTACTCATCTTAAAGGGGGGTCATTACAGAGCTTTCCTCCCAGGACCGCGGAGAGGATGGAAGAAGACGTAATGTGTTGGAGGTAAATCAGCCCACACAGACCTCATCTCTCCTCGTCCTACTCCCGTTGTACGTCAGAGGCGGCCAGAACTTCCCGGGACATCTCAGCCCTGATGGGGGGGGGGGGGCCGGGACAGGGGTTGCCAATCCTGGCTGGTGTGTGGAACGACCCGGGAGCTTTCCAGCACCCCTGCCCAGCCCGCAGGCTCAGAGATTCTAATGCAAGTGCTGCAGGAGTGACTGGGGCTCCCAGAGCCCGGAGGCTTGCAGGGTGATTCCGACGAGCCCCCGGGACTTACAACTGCTACCTCAGGGCTCCAGGGGACACTCAGACCCCACACCAGACCTCTCTCAAGCTGATCATGCAGAAGAACCCATTGCAAGGCCTTCTAAAACGCAGACTGCTGCCTCCCAACCCACAGTGACTCCCTAGGCGTGGGGTGGGCTCGAGAACATGCATTTCTATCAAGCTGATTCCAGGACCCCACACGAAGGACCGCTGCCCTAAGAAACGTCCGTTTTCCACAGCCTGACATTCACAGGTGGAGCCTTGGGCCCGCAGCATCCTGCGCCCAGGGCTGGAGTCTCTTCGACGCGCCTTTCACGAGCGGTCCTGGAGCGCCCCCCGGTGGGAACCGCGGGGGCCTCAGTTGGTGCGGGCTTTCTCCCCTCTTGCGAGTGGTGGGGTGGGGAGCCAGCGGCGTCAGCTGGCCCTGGAGCCTTCGATCTTCTCCCTAGAAGTTTTGGGACCCAACCCCATTCGCAGGAGTCCCGGGACTCGAGCGGGCCAAGGGGACGGGATGGGACAGGTTGGGCTTGGGATTGCGGGGCGAGCTTGGGTAGGGGATGGGGTTGGGGGGCACCGCGGCCACAGGATCTGGGACGGTTAAGCGCTTATGCGAGGGAGCCCCGCAGGAGGACAAAGCCAAGTTCGAGGTCCCTTCCCCGCCTCCCTGAGCCTCACTTTCCTCATCTGGGAAATGGGAGTGAAAACCTGCCTTCCTCCTATTCCCCCAACCCTATTCGATGCACAGAATCAAATAAATACATTCACAACCCAAACGCAATCTCGTCATCCAAAGACCCCACAGGGACGCAAAGAGCATGGGAGGTGGCACTGGAGGGGTCCCTGATCACTCATGAATGTCTCCTAGGATCACGGGCCTGAGCCATTCCGTGGCCACAGTGCGGGCATCCGGCTGCCCTAGCCCTCCCCTCTTGGGGTCTCCGCTCAAAGGTCACTTAGTGAGGTCGTCAGCGAGACCCCTCCCGAAATGCGCGAGGCTGGCAAACCTGTCGCGCGGACGGCTCGCCCCGCAGCCTCCCCGGGTCGTGCCACCGCGCGCCCTGCCCCAGGATCGTCTCCTCAGTGCCTCCGCCCCACGGCGCCCCGCGAGGGACCGCGTGAGTGGGTGTCCCTCGGGCCGCCACGCCAGCGCCGAGCACCGGGACTGGCTCCGTATCCCCGCGGCCCGCCGAGTCCGTCCGGCCTTTGCCTGGGCGCTGCCTCCTGCCGCCGCCTGGGCCGCGGGCGCTCGGCTCGGTGTCCTCGGGGCTGCGCCGCCCACGGGGCTCCGGGGGACCAGCCTGCGGCCGGGGGGACTGCGCGGGGCTCGGCGGGGCCTTCCCCCCTCCCGGCAGGAGTAGCCTTCCAGCCCCTTCCGCGCCAGCAGCATCTGGGCCGCGGTTCTCCCGGCGCGCGTAGTTCATTCGGTCGGTGGGTCGTGGGGCAGCTAGAGTCTGGGCCGCTACCGTGCGCGGACACCGTGCTGGCGCGGGGGACGCGGCGGGGGACAGGGCGGCCCCAGCCCGGGTCCCGGGGTCGGCCCTGTCCCGCCGCGCGGCGCCCGAGAGCTTCCACGGCTCCTCGCCCCACGGTCGCCCACCCCGGGATCCGGACCCGACCCTCGGACCCTCCCTGCGCTGTGGCGGTCGGGTTGGACAGCGGGAAGCGGGGGACGCTCTCCCGAAGCTGCTCGGCCTGTGGTGTCGGCGGCGGGGACGTGGGTTGGGGCGCCCCGGTCCCTGCTCCGGGACTGCCGCTGCTTGGTGGAATCTCAGGGGCGCAGCGGCCCGGGCTCTGGGCGACAGCACTTCCCCGGGCAGGAGCAGCTTGCGCACTCCTCATCCTGGGGCAACCTGACGCTCTCTTCTGCCCTTTGTCATCAGCAGGTCATCTGCAAACAAATTCGTGTGGCAGGTGACAATCCATCAGAGCTTGAAAAAGTAGGGGTGTGAGGGAAGGGTCACGTTTAACTAGGGTGGTCAGGGAAGCCCTCCCAGGGGAGTGGGATAGTTGAACAAAGACGGAGATGAAGTGAAGGGTGGAGCTATGCAGATATCCTGGGAAAGCACTCCAAGCCAGGGGGAACAGCAAGTGCAAAGGCCCTGAGGCAGGAATGGTCTCCCAGTGTTCCCTGAAAAGCAAGGAAATCTGGGCATCTGAAGGCATGGGAGAGTATTGGGCAGTGAGGCAGAGAAAATGGGGACAGAGGAACCACAGCAGTATTGTACCAGAGAACTTTCTGTGAAGGTGGACATGTCCTATACTTGCACTGGAATGGTAGCCAGCCAGCCTATGTGGCTCCGGAACACTTGTAAGGCAGTGGGTATGGCTAAGCAAGTGGATATTCCATCTTATTTAATTTTATTTAAATGTATTGTCCCTTGTGACCAGAGATTACCCTGTTGGACAGAACAGGTCTAGACCGCTATAAGAACTTCAGTTTAACCTGTGGGGGACAGGGGTGCCTGGGTGGCTCAGTGGGTTAAGCCTCTGCCTTCGGCTCAGGTCGTGATCTCAGGGTCCTGGGATGGAGCCCCGCATCGGGCTCTGCTTGGCAGGGAGCCTGCTTCCCCTTCTCTCTGCCTCTGCCTGCCTCTCTGCCTACTTGTGATCTCTCTCTCTCTGTCAAATAAATAATAATAAAATCTTAAAAAGATAATAATAACCTGCGGGGACAAAGGAAGCCTGTGAAAGGTTTAGGGAGAGTGAGGTAATCAACGAGTGGACCACAGGGCGGGAGGTTGGATCCCAGTGGGGGTGGAGGCAGAACCCCCTTAGTCTGGGTCCATGACAGACCTTTGGCGCAGGGGCTCAGGGGTCAGGTCTCAGGGTGACACGGGGGAGCGGTTCTTGGCAATAGAACAGGATGAAGGGTCCACAAGGTCACCAGGGTGAGATATAGTTGGGCAGAGACTAACCTGGGCACTAGAGACCAGAGCAGAGACTGGGACCAGAGGTGATGCAGAGGGAGTGGGATAGGAACGGTTTTAGGGGTGATGGCTGGACCCCAAAAATGCAATTGGATGGACCATGAAAGGGCATTCTGAAGATGGTGGAGTACTGACACCTGACAAGATACAACCAAGTACCAGACAGCTGCGGTGGGCGAGAGAAGGAGGCCAGGGGTGGGGGCAGGTAGAAGCTGAAGCAAGGTCTGATTTATATGGCTGCGGTTAGGTCCGGGGCGGGGGGAGGGGCAACCGCTGAAGAAGCAAAGGACTCTGGGTATAAATCAGGGACAGGACGAGCCCAGGTGTTCCCGCTGATCTTCAGTTATGGGAGGTGGGGCACCTGTCGTCCAACCTCAGAAATTCCCCTGCCCCCCAGCCTCACCCCCACTTCCACCCCGGGCCAGAGCACAGAGACACCAGACCAGCATGTTCAAATGTTCAACTCACTTTATTGAAGGGTCCCAGATGACAAGCGCACCAGGAGAGGCGCTTACACCTGCTATGGGGCTCTCCCCAACCCTGGCGTCCACAGAGGCCGCTCAGCCCAGGGCCATCCACCGCCCCCAGGAGGAGGGGGCTTGCTCCCCAGACCCAGACCCAGGCCCACCCTGGCCTGCTCCCTGGTGATCTCAGGAACTGTCCCACGGAGGCCCCTGGAGTTCTGAGGGAGGAAGCTTCTAGAATGGTTGAGGCATGTCCCGAGTCTGCTTCTGCACCTGGGTGTCCCCAGGTGGGGCTTGCACAGTCCAGTCGGGCTGTGAGGGCACCCCCAGGCTCCTGCACCTTCCTGGAGACCTGGAGGGAGGGCCCTCCTGGCACAATGGGCCTGTCACACCCTGGGGACAGGGACTCTGGCACAGACACACACACACAGCCCCAGGGCGAGAGGATTAGGAACAGCACCCAGTACAGAGCACTCCAGAAGGGACACGCTGAGGTGGGCAGTAAGGGCTGATGTCCGCTTCACC